GAAGCGCAGCATCACTAGAGCTTCGCAAAAGGCTGAATGTTTGGCATGCAGTCACTGATTACCCAATAGGGTCATTCACAAAAAAAAATATTTACCCTTCAAGCAACATCATCTTAAGTGAATCGGTTTGTTCCTTTCAAACAATTGGTTGATTTAATATACTACTCAGATGTACATATTATGTACATCGGAGAGATTTGAAAGCAAACTGATTGGCAGTTCTTTGCGCTAAAATAGAATCAATTACTTCTAGTACTCTATGGCTAGATTAAGCTCGTTCTCAAATACTTTTTTTAAATTTTGATTCCGCATATTATGGCAAAGCGACTTCACCCCTCTCTACAGTGATAGTTTAATTGGTCACATAATGGCAGTAATGGCGGGAAAACTCATACCAAAAACTACGTTGGAAGAAGATTATTGTACCAAGGCAACTACTCTTCCGTTCATTATAGACAGCTGTCAATCATCATCGGTGACGTAACTTTCAACATCATTGATGGTCTTCCTATCAGGTCATGTACTTCGAAGTACGTTTTTGTAGCTATGTAATGTTCCCAAGTTTGGTTGTTCGCTCTTTACCTCGAGCTCGTAATTTGCCTTGCTTCAGCTTCGAAAACCAAAACATTTTTTTGTTTTTGTTTTGGCTTTTCGAGGCGGAAGCAAGGCATATTTCGATAATGCGCGGAGTGCACCTCCGGCACTCGCACCGAGGGACAATCCAGATGAAGTGGTGTACGGAATGTTGTAGTGAGCAGGTTTTCTTCGGAAAATCAAACTCTATTAATGAATTTTACCACATAGTACCCGGGCTACTATTTTTAGTGCCCCCAAAAATCAATCATTTTTGAAGAGAGGGTCACTAAAAGAGTAAGGGCTTCTAAATATTGTTTATTGAACTCAGCTCTTTCCCTGTAGTATTAATCCAGTCTAGATCGTATTTCGTCTTCCTAAAGAGCATCTGGTCGCCGTAAGTTTGAAATTGTAGATGCGTTATTCTGAAAATGTGCCTTAACCCCCCAGCGCCCAAGCCGTTTTTGACGTTATTTCAAATCATCCAACATAGTACTCATCCAACATGTAAAACCGTGCAACACTTGAATTTACTATAGTCTCGTATAATTCCGAGCACCTTTCTTGTACATGCACAACAAGACAATTTCTGCAAATCCCGTCACCATGTTGTATGTACACCAGATCAAAGTTGTATATACACCGGCAGACTGCTTGAATATGGCGTACATCCAGCATGATGGAGGTTTCAAAAAAAGGTGTCGATGTATCTTTTATCAAGAGACTGTACGAAGCCTATCAAACCGGTGCAAAGCCGGGAGGTTTGAAGACAATGAAAAGCGAAACCAAACACACATCAATTGAATACAGTAAGAAAAAGCACATATTGCAGCACTACGTTCATCCACCACCAGTTATCGGCTCACTCAGTCTCGCTACCTTCCCTATCGTCGTCGTGCGCTACGCTGTCGCTGTCGCTCCCCTCGCTAATACCGTCCTCCTCCTCTCCGTCACTACTTCGGCGGCGGCGCTTACCCTTTCCTCCAGCCTCGCGATTCTGGAATCCTCGTCCACATCGCGCCCTGGGGCATTTGGCTCCATTTGCCCACTTGTGATGCCAGATCTGGTGGCAGCTCAGAGCGTTGCCAGGATAGTGGTGCGGCCAAATACGAGTACACAGATACATGCTGTACATAACGAGCAACAGTTAGTAGTCGTTTCAGCCATATCGAATTCGTATGTACCGAGCTTTATCAGAAGTGCTGCAGGCATCGCAATAGTATTTGGTGGCTCGACGCTCTCCCACCCGGCGCTTCAGAATTGCGCACACTTTGCATTGGCGCTGCCGGCGCTTGCGCACGCCTTTCACGATCTGGTACTCAGGACATTCCCGAGGTTCGTGGCCAGGTGGCAAGGGTGGAAGCTCGTCGCCAGCTGCGGTCTCTTGTGGTCTTGGCTGTCAACATACAGCATGTGGGTCATACAATATGTCAGCATTATCCAACATGATACAGATACAACATCAGGACTTACACTTTCATCGAAGTCGTACTTGGTCAGAGCAAGCAGCTGGGCATGAAGCTCCACTAGGAATTCTGCGTGCGACATTGAAGACCCACCATTTCGCTTATGTGCCTCAAGAAAGATGATATACGCATTCACAATCGCCACATCCACAAGCCCCAAGAATATGGACTTGTAGTATTTCTTGCACCAAGTCTGCAACTGCAACGAGTAACGTTGGAGGCGCAGCTGGTCATGGACATCCACGCCCCCCATCCATTTGTGATAGTCTCGAATCATAGCAGGACAGGGGACATCAGTCCGTCTGCCGTGTGTTCCACGTGTACGCCTCTCTGATAACAAGCACAACATTGATTAGATGAATAGGAAACAGCACTCCTCTTGCATATACGTACGACACTCCTCCATCGCACGGCTCGATCCAGTCCCCAAGAATTGCACGGGTTTTCTATCCCACCACAGCCACACTAAAGCCGTCATTAGGGGGCAAGCTTTTGCCACTGCCATTCTTGTTGTACCGTGCGGTATGCTTTTGGGTCGGTCTCGAATTTTTTCAACAATTTGCTGAGGATAGCCCACTTTGTCACCCATTATCGTGCCGATACTGTAGACATTTCTATGTAGTAGCTGAAAGCCAGTTGAACTGACGTATAAAATCGATCCGTCACTACAATGTGATAGACGTCATCTTCGGGTGGTGGCAGGACAGCTTCCAAGTTTCGGATAACTGCTGACGGCCCGGTGTTTGGATCTGCAGATCGCTGACTGTCTGGAACGTTGCCTACTTCATGGACTTGCTGCGCTTTGCCACAATACACCTCAAGTCTTCTTGTTGTAGGATACAGCATACAAGCATACAACATTAGATACAACATGATAGACTTGGTAAAAAAAAAAACGGACTCGCAGTCATCTCACCTTATACAGTAGGAAGTATCTGTACAACACGTCAGAAAAAGCTTTGTGCCCCACTTGTGAGGCTTCGCCTTGAGATATTGACGCGTAGGATTGTTCCGGTTCTTCAGAGGTAGAAAAAACGCAAACAGAGGATTACCTGGATTATTTGGCTCGCTAGATTGTTTTCACTGGGACTGGTCAGCGTGCCCCAACGCATGGAAGGGCTATTACCAAGAAAAAAGGGAAGAAGCCTACTGTAATTTTGGAGGCAGTCGCTACTGCCGACCGATGGATCTGGTATTCCTTCTTCGGTATGCCAGGCTCAGCAAATGATATAAATGTTATGGACCGGTCGCCGCTTATTGCCAACTTGCTCAATGGAAGAATATCAGTTGGGACGTATCAATTGGGCACGAAAACTCGTTCCCAGCCATATTACTTTGTCGATGGCATATATCCTTCGTGGCACATTTTAATAGCCGCAATTCCAACCCCGACCAACAAGCAACAGCGCTGCTTTACAAAAGTAAAAGAATCGGTGCGCAAAGAAGTTGAATGTGTGTTTGGAATGTTGAGAAAGCGGTTCTCAATTCTAAAACAACAATGCCGCCAGTGGAATTTGCGTGAAATGGAAGATGTGATACCTTGCTGCATAATTTTGCACAACATGCGAATTTCTCACAAAGGAAAGACCATCTCCCCGCTTGAGACTACCGGTGGAGACCAACAGGAGCAACATGAACGTTCATTTGGTGAGCATAACGAGTATATTAGATATAACCCTGAACGCATTGATCAATATGGAGCTCGCTTACGTCAAATCACAAGCGAGAGCGAAAATGAAGAGCTACGAAATGCACTTGTCGACCACTACTGAAACTTTCATGGAACTTCTGCGCGAACTTAGATCAAAGCCGAAGTAACCACTGCATCATTGCTGTTCTGATCGTGAATTTCAGTTACCACCACAAAGTCGGCGGCCCGCTCGGTAGTAGCTTCAGAAGGCGAATTTTGTGCAGACTCAAGGCTACGAATATGAAGTTGCGGTTGTAGCATCTTTTTCTTTTGTAGCAGCTCTCGGAAGTGCCATGTTTGTTCTGTATCGGGAGACGTTTCAAAAAGCCGAAGAGCTCGTTCTTCATCACGCAAATCGTTTTTGCGTTTTATTTCTTCCAGTATCTTCTCGTTTTTCTCCCTGTTGTGATCGAGTAGTTGTTGGAGCTGCGTTGAAGCTGAGACTGGTGCTGTGTGTTGTAGTCGTGCCTTTTTTGCTTTATCTCTTCCTTCTTGCCGGAGGCTGGACTCTTCCTGCTCTTCACTCGATGACTTTTGGTCACGTTTTTGATGAGCAGGTAGTCCAAATGCCGTGAACTTGGGACAGCTTTTCAGTATCATCCAGCACGACAAAAACTCGAACCTACTACCATGAGTTTCCTGATACAACGTGCCGGCGTCATTGGTCAAGTCGTCTTCGCTTTTACCAGACTCGTTGCGACCTTTTACACGAGATACACACCCCGAAAACTTTGCTACATCGTGTGATATGATGCTCCAACGGTTTTTGACGGCTTGTAGAGATCGAGCTTCACCGTCGAATACTGCTGCCGTGTGCCGGCACACATCCTCCCAGAATGCAGCATCTTTTTGGTCCGTTCCTTGTATTGGGTTCTCCGCAGAAATCTTGTACGCGCGAGCCAGAGCTTCGTGCTCCTGAGCACACCACTTCCGACCTCTCCCCATGGCGCCTGCGATCTTTCAGCTGAGTGAGTTTCTATTCGTGCACCAGAGTTGCTATTGGGGATCCGAATAGCAACTCGAATCAGAATTTCTATTTTCAAATAGCAATAGCAACTCCGAGTGGAGATAGCAGAATATATTCTTTCTGATTCCGTCGCTATTTTAGCAATAGCAACTCCAATAGCAACTCGAGTGGAGAGCCTTAGGTATCCATTATTTCTCGAAAAATCTATCTACTTACCGGTATATTAAAATGTACGTACATTAAAATGTTTACAAAAAATAAAACGAACATATAATACGGTATGCGGCATATTTTAAGTTGTTATTTACGCGCAACCCAGCCACGCTTCGACTTCGGAAATACATACATCACCTACCCCTTTCGCTATTTGTTGACGCCGCATCTCAATCGGATACGGGTTTGTAGTACAGGCAATCCCCATGAATCGAGCGTTGTAGCACATGGATTCGACATTATTTGTTCTTGGACACTGTCGATACATTATCCCATTGCATGGAGTCATGAGGTCCTCTGTTGGTGGACCCTCCAATACACCAGCTTCAAGTACAGGACCACAGATGGTGGACGAGAACTTGTCGACCACTTTTAGTGTTGCAGTAGCAGCCAGTTTCTCGGTGCGATTAAGAGTTAAGCAAGTCACTGCCGGGTTCCCCCATACTGGATGCACTACCCCACACTTGCGATCATTCAGATTGCAGTCTCCGATGAATCCGTTGCAGCACCAAGCGCCTCGATCCGATATTGCAAACGACTTCAGATCTTCGACAGGCGAGAAATCTGGCAGACTTTCCATCGCTGGCATGGAAGCCAGAACCAGTCGCTCGAGATTCTGCAGATCGTCGAATGCTGGGAGCTCTACCATTGAGAGGAAGCATGCTAATGTGAGTGATCGAAGCCTTCAAATGACGGCAATTCGGTCATTGTCATAAACGCTGCGAGGTGCATAAACGTGAGAGAAGACATGTCGTCGAACATGTCGTCTGGTAAAACTATCATTGGGCTCGTTAATTTGCTCTCCAAATGTCTGTAGGTCATTTAGTTTTTTTTTAGGAATACAGAGCACGCAAGAAAAACTACATTAAGATACTTACAAATATCCGAGCTTGGTGAACTCTTTAACCCACGCTGGAAACACTTGAGTGTGTGTGTACTCGAGTGACCTTGTCAAACACATCGCCATAACAAGTCAGCCACCTCGCTCACGCTTTTCACAGCTAACATTACCGTACAAGCGTTTAAGGTCTTTACAGAGTCGCAGTTCCTCTGGTAGCTGTGCAAGGTAGCGGTTCGTTATTTGAATAGTCTGGAGATCCCCTGTTGCAGCCAGTTGTGCCACTTTCTCAGTTACATTCGTCGGGTTTTGCCACTCTGCGAACGTCTTTGGTGCGATATCTGGATCGATCATTGTCAAGCATGGACACTGCGTTAGTGAGCCATGTTCCACAATAACCCACCGTCTTGCCTTCACCACACACTCAGGATGAGGTGCACACGCCAGAGAAGACGTTCTCATGCTTTCTTCGACGAAAACTGTCAGCATTGCCGTAAAAATCGCCAGAGCAGCAGCACCCACACGGGTACACACTGCTCTGCTGTTTCTTAGGATTATGAATGAGATCCACTACGCTGCGAAGTCTGAAGCACAGAGTGCCATTGACTCCTAAGCGAGAAAAGAAATCCATAACTGACATGATGCGTAATGACTTAAGACTTTTGTAGATCACAGCAGTCTGTACGGGGTCGGCTACGACGCTGGCGCTTTGCTCGAACCAGCCAGCAGGAAACACACGAAGGTTTATGGCAAACTTCTCTCGATCAAACGTGAAGGTGGAGAGGCAGTAGGCAATCGTCAGCATCGGGCAAGCGATGGCAATCAAAAAGTCAAATCTGCAGCAATTGTTGCGGGTAACTTGGGCGCAGGTAGAAGGAAGTCAGGGTAGGAAGGAGTAAAAGAAGAAGTAAGATTAATGTTTAAGAAAGTAGCGGGCTACTAACAAGAAATTAGTATGCGGCATTCAGAAACATAGTCTAGAATTGCCGCTACCATTCATCGTACTAAAATGTTCCAGACATTTTAGTACATTATTTATTAGAGTCAAAAATCCCGTGTCTCTTCATTATTAGTTTATAGAGAGCACGATGGAGAGGCGGTCCCTGTGACGGGCCCTAACCTCAACAGCCTCCCTGGATCGACATCAGGGAACGTCATTGGATAATATAATACACGTGTTTTGATTGGTCTACGAAAAACCCTGCTAAAAGTGTTCAGTCAATTTACAAAATGGCTACACGAATTCGTGTTTTTTGCGTTTCTGAAGCTCCTAGAGGCCCTACAGCCAAACGGAGACCGGATTTGGACTCTACTCGCCAGGGCAGTTTTCTGGGGAGGTGGAGTCCAAATCGCCATTTGACCACCTGTGCACCAGGTGGCAGACTGAAAAATGACTCGAGAGTTCAAAACGAATTAGTTTTGACAGTGATAGGTTTTGAGAGTACATTTGTATTGAAGTTAATAGCAGTTACAACAAGTGGCCATCTTATCGGAGCGTGTATGTTAACTTAGAGAAGCTCAATGCCAACAGAATCGGCCCACATGACGGACAGCCTTGAATTTAGAAGAGACGACAAACGCAGATGATGCTGGGACGGCATAAGGTCTTATTCTATGGTCCGGCGCGCGGTATAGGATCAATCAGCAGCTCGGGGGCTCATTGAGCTGATCTCGTAGTCTCACATCACAATTTACATTCTACTGTCACCGCACCAGCCACACGCACGTCAAGGACACGCACGTCAAGGCCACGACACCAACAAACTTCGGTGCTTCAACAGCCAGCTTTGGGTATTGCAACGCTTCATTCTCGCTCAGTCGGCGTCATTCAGGATACTTGTGGAGACCAGGCAGATTGGCTCGAGGCTCAGTTATTTAACGCCAGCTTTGAGGATCATGCCTCGGTCGGCGCAGGTGGCCCGGATGGACCCTACTATCGCCAAGCATCTCATTACAATGGCTGCCCCAAAGCAGCTACCTTCGACTACGAATTCTCTATCGGTTATTGACACGGCTACGGCTAATTCTTCGAGCACGATTTCAACTCAAGATCAACCCACTTCAACTACATCTACATGCACTGAGCCAACGACTTCGACATCAACAGTACCGAAGATTCGCCGCAGTACTCGATCCCGGCAACCTCCGGCCGCCTTTAGCCTGTCGTTCATACGAGGGTCCAAACCCAAAAGGCGACGTCGACGCAAGGAGCGTCCGTGCGTGCCCCAGACTTGGGGTGTAGCATTCCTAAAGGACCGAAAAACGAGTACAACTGGTGGCTTACTCTACAGGGTTTTGTGGAGGACCCACAAGTATGGCCGGCTACCACGCACATGGGAGCCACGTGCCATGCTAGTTGAGGACGGATTTGAAACCGCTATAAAGGTTGTGGACGAGTGGGTTGATGGAGGTCGGCAAACCGACTTCTTTCAGTTCGTCAGCAACTTGTACCCATCGGTTGCTGGTGCCAACCCGATGGGTACATGCATGTTTCTCGCACTGCAACACGCATTGCTGCTAGTGGGTGAGCCGTTTGGTGTTCGGAACTCCCATGTTCAGGAGTTCCTTGCGAGAGCAACAGAATTAAAGCAAGATCTGTCTCGTGGAGTGCCGTGGACAATTTTTCGAGCTTTTATTTTACAGTTACATGTAGGTGGTTCTCGGCTATCATTGGAGGATATTGAGTACAACAGGCACCGTACTGGACACCGAGGTGTCGCTGCCATAGTACGGTTGCCATTAGAAGATGGTATTTACTTGGTTGCTGCCTGTAATACTATGGCGGTTGGACATGCATTTGTCCTCCAGGTCCGTGGAGCCCAGAGGACAGTTTTTGACGATTCGTCTCAGTGCCCTTTGAAGGACTACGGTGAGTGGATCGACAGAGTGATGTTCGTTCGTAAAGTTTCACTTTTAGATTAAGATCAAAATATAATTTTTTGATTTGTTTACCTTCACTTTTGTTCTATTATAAAATTAAATGTACATGTATATTTGGCGGCTGTGTGCCAGGGAAAAACACTTTCAGTGTAAAAACCTTATCGAAAAGTAACACGAGAAAACCTTTGCATGTAAAAGTTCTTAAAGGAAAAAAAACTCATGTTACCACGTGACTCTTTAAAAGTTGTGAGGTAATATAAAAATGGTTAATTTATCGTGTATTTTAAAGTATGTTTAACTGTTAAGTTTAGCGAGAGAGCGCATACCTAACTTGTTTCTTAAGTCTCTAAATTGGTGCTTATCAAGGGCTTTAGTAAAAATGTCTGCTACCATCACTTTGGTGTTGCAATACTCAATACAAAATTCGCATCTCTCAACCTTTTCCTGTACAAAGTGATATCGAATATCAATGTGTTTTGATCGTCCGTGTAGTTCAGGATTATTTGAGATTTTAATGCAACTTTGGTTGTCTTCTTTAATCGTGACTGCTTTCGTGGTTGTGAAACCGAGTTCCTTAAGTAGTAACTTCAGGAATATCAGCTCCTGCATGCAGTGGCATAATGCAATGTATTCAGCTTCTGTGGTCGAGAGCACAACCGTGTGATGCTTTCTCGAAAGCCAGGATATAGGACTTTGGCCTAACATAGTGATGTAGCCACCTACAGAGTGCCTACTGTCAGGACAGTTAGCATAGTCTGAGTCGGTGTAAGCCGTGAGGTGATCTGCAAGATTTTCTGTGTTAACCGTTTGTGATCCTCCTAGTAGTAGACCAAGATCCTCTGTACCAGAGAGATACTTCAGCCCTCTAATCACTGCTTTCCAATGTTCCTGCCCAGGATTAGCAAGAAATTGGCTGACATCACGCATGTAGAATGCTAGGTCGGGTCTTGTGCCAACCATGAGGTACATGACACTCCCAACAACTTCACGGTAGAGAATGTCTTGCATTGTTTCTTTTTCAAGTTGTGTCTTTGGTTGCATTTGACTTGTTAGCTTGGCATTACGATCTGATGGAGTTGCCACTGGATATGTTACCAGGTTCTTAAAGCGATCTAACACTATGCGAGCATACTTGCGTTGGTGGATAAATATCGTTCGTGCATCGCGGTTTCGTTCGATTGACCAGCCGAGGATGTACTTCACCTCCCCTGAATCTGTCATGGAGAAACGTTTGTTCAAGGCAGATTTGATTTGACATACGAGGTTGACAGTTGGTGCAATGATCAGTAAGTCATCAACATAGACTGCAATGTAACATGTCTCGCCTTCGAAAGCCGCCATGAATACGCACCGATCTTTAATCAGTCTGTGGAATCCAAGGCTTTCCAAAAACGTGGACAAGGTGTGATACCAGATACGGGGTGCCTGTTTGAGACCGTAAAGGCTTTTGAGGAGCTTGCAAACGAGGCCTTCCTTACCAGGAACTACAAACCCTTCTGGTTGTTTCATATAGATTTCCTCGTCGAGGGTTCCGTTGAGAAACGCTGTCTTGACATCCATCTGGTGAATTTCAAAGTCAAGCAGAGCTGCAATCACTAGTAGCAGGCGTAGGACTTCCATGCGGATGACAGGGGCAAATATCTCATTGTAATCGACTCCATATTGCTGTAAGAAACCTTTGATAACTAACCGTGCTTTAAAGCGATCGATTTCTCCAGAGCCAGTGTATTTAACAACAAAGACCCACCGATTTTGGAGTACTTTGCGGTTTTTGGGAGGAGTTACCAGGATCCACGTCTGGTTTTTCATTAGTGACTGGTATTCCGAGTCAGCAGCTGCATGCCATTTGTCTGCATACGATGAACGCATCGCCCCGTAATATGTTTTTGGTTCCGGCACATGGCGAATCGCAAGGAGACTGAGGACTAGAGACATGCGTTCTTCCTCTTCCTGAACATCTTCGCGGGAATTTAACTGGCTAAGGTTGATTTCTTCCTCATACCGAGGGCGTTTTACACCTGTCCTCGAAGGTTGAGAGGGTGTTTCCGTAACGAAAGAGTATGTCAAGACGCCACGTTCCAGTGCCTCCCCAAGGGAAGGAAGTTGGTTCGAAGTGGTAACAGATGCATGTTGTGGTTCTACAACTAAGTCACCCGGAGATTCAGGCTGAGATGGATTGGTTGGTGTTTCCAAAGGAACACATGCTGGAAGTTCAACGTCAGTAATGGGGGCTTCTGTTAAGTGATCCGGCAGCTGAAGCGGGCCTGAAGTGACCTCAATATTTTCAACAGTAGGAAAGTCAATCTCATTGAAAACCACGTCGCGACTGTAAACGACACTATGGGTTTTTACGTCCATGAGTCGGTATCCTTTCTTGTGCTCAGGAATTCCAAGATAGATGCAGAGTTTTGCTCTGGGATCAAGTTTGTCCCTGTATATGTCGTTGACATGGACATACGCAGCACAGCCAAACACTTTCAGATACTGAACAGTTGGTTTTCGATTGTACCACAACTCAAACGGTGTGCAATCCTGTGTGTTAGCGCTTGGTGTCATGTTGAGGAGTGTCGTAACATGTGAAACACATTCTGCCCACAGTTGTTTGGGTAGCGAGGCATCTAGCAGTAGCGCACGGACACGTTCCATGATTGTGCGCATGCGGCGTTCTGCAACACCATTCTGTTGTGGTGTATAAGCATTGGTAAATTGAGCGTGCGTCCCATATTTAGAGAAGATAATGCGTCCCAGTTTCTCGTACTCTTTAGCATTGTCAGCCTGTAACGCCTGGATGTCCACATCCGGCGGTGGCAGGAGATATTCAAGAGTATGAATATCACTTCGGAAAATATTCAAAGCTTTCATGCGAAAGTCTGTGTAGCATGAATAGAGCTCGCTACGTGCCTTCATCGGATAGGTAAACATGTAGCGACTGAAGTCGTCAATGAATACTACGAAGTAGCGACATCCGCCAAGACTAGGGACGGGAAGTGGGCCACAAATATCAGAGTGAATTTTATGCAAGGGGCTAGTAGAGCGTTCAACATGTCTATTGGATGGGAAAGGAGCGCGGTGTGACTTCGCGTAAGTACATGCAGTGCAAAAGAGAGAATCTGGTCTTACTACAGCCGGTGCATCCAGTCCATGAAGAGCTTGGTCTTTAGTGAGTGCCTGCAAAACACGGATGTTAGGATGGCCAAGACGTTTGTGCAATAGCATGAGTCGGGTTGGCTTACCTGTGGTAGCCACGTGAGCTTCGGCCTTTGTCAGCGGAGAGGCTTCGAATTGATAGAGCTTCGACGTTGCGGATTTCATCGCCTTGATAGAGAAGCGTTGGTTGGTTTGGACAGTACACAGAGTACGCTTGAAGCCAAAACGGAAGTCATCGTCGACAGCGGCAGCGACCGACAGCAGGTTATACTGTAGTTTCGGCGCTAGGAGGACATCGTGCAGCGTAAGCGTCCGCGGTTGGCCCTTGCTGTCGGTGATCTGAAGCTCCACAGTACCAATAGCTTCGATGGGGACCTGCGATTTTCCACCAACAGTGATGCCTCCGCTTGCAGGTGTTTTAGTCTTGAACCAGTCCTCATGTTGAGTAACGTGACTGCTGCAACCGGAGTCGATCGTCCAGCTGGAATCAAAGTCCTGGCTAGGTTGCGCCGTGAGGCTAATAGCGGATGGAGCTGTTTTGCACATCCGATACAACAGCAATTAGGGCCTCTTTGCGGCGTGACTGATCGTAGGCAACTTTCATCGCGACGAGAGGATTTGTTGTTGTTGTTGTTGTTGCCGTTGTTGTTGCCGTTGTTGTTGTTGCGATTGCCACCATAGTTACCGCGGCCACGACCACCGCCACGACCACCCGCCACGACCACCTCGGCCAACTTGATGCCATGACCCACCAACCCCCAGATCGCTCTTGGTGGCTGTGGTTGTTGTTTGAAGGGATGCAAACCGAAAGTTGTAAGGTCCAACGAAGCTCAAAGTTAGCAGGGAGAACAGTGCCAGCCTTAACGCAGCCATCACGTAAGTCCTTCTGTAGAGCACGGCACTGACGGATGTTGTGACGTGGTTTCTGACAGTAGCTGCAGACATCAATAGGGACGGTCGCTTGAGCTGCCAACGCAGAATCCTGAGAAGGAGCAATGAGAGCCCGTTCAGCCTGAGTTGATTGACTCTCAGGTGTCCCTTTGATACGGCTGTAACGTTCTTGAGCCTGGATTTCGCGAACCTTGGTCTCAATACTCATCTTGAGTTCGTCATACGGGATATACTTCCGCACACCTTTCCAAACTCGGAGATCGTCCTTCCAAGTCTTCGGCATCGAGTGGAACAGGTACAGTGATTTCTGCCCGTCAGTCAAGGGAGACTCGGTTGCTTCAGACGCGGCTTTCATCGCGTTTTCCAGCTCAAGGAAGAAGCTAGTCAGATCACCACCTTCTTCGTACTTGATCTCCATAAGGAAATGCTGGATGAAGTAGGGGTCGCCATGAAAGGCCGCACCCTCATACTTGGTACAGATGGCCTGGAAGATGTCGAAGGCCGTTGACAGATTCTTGACAAGACGGATATGAGTATCATCCATCGTCTTCATCAGGAACGCCTTGGTTTGTGCCTCCATACGGCGAAGGTGACGAGCAGATGGTAGAGACGTCTTACGCCGCGTAACTTGCTCCCGATCACGGCTGACGTGGCGTTCCGCAAATCGCCGAACTGTTGGTAGATCAGCACGCTTCGTTTTCTTGGACGATGGAGTATCGTCGTCGTCGCGGGGCTGCAGCTCATCCGAGCTGTCCTCGAAGTCGACCTCATCCGAGTCAATACCAGCCGGAGAGCTGGGCTTGGAGGGATCGTCGTCGTCGTCCGACTCAGCCAAGTCGTCGTCGGAGTCGTCATCTTCGTCTTCACTGACCCCATTGTAGTCCTTCTTGGTGACGAAACCGAGCAGATGCTTGCCATCGAGTGACGCACTGACTCGGGCCTTCCACACGTCGAAATTTTTGGCGCCAGAGAGGCGGGGGAAGTCGTCACCGGAGGCTTGCTGAGGGCTCATGACCTGTTGCGGGTAACTTGGGCGCAGGTAGAAGGAAGTCAGGGTAGGAAGGAGTAAAAGAAGAAGTAAGATTAATGTTTAAGAAAGTAGCGGGCTACTAACAAGAAATTAGTATGCGGCATTCAGAAACATAGTCTAGAATTGCCGCTACCATTCATCGTACTAAAATGTTCCAGACATTTTAGTACATTATTTATTAGAGTCAAAAATCCCGTGTCTCTTCATTATTAGTTTATAGAGAGCACGATGGAGAGTGACGGGCCCTAACCTCAACAGCAATCATTAATCTGTGAGAATTGCCACATTTCTAAAAAAAGAAGAGGAATAATACTTACAGAATGTCGATGAATATTTCTGCGCGTGGTGCTCGCTCGTACGGAATGTACATCATGACAGCACAGATCAGTGCGCTAGAGGCCACAACAACACTGAAAACTACTACAAGCACCGCTGGGGAACCAGACTCGAGCATCTGGTAGAGTAGAAACGTTTCCAAAGCTAAATCCCCAAATTTCACCAATAATTTCTAAAACACAGGACGAAAATGAACACTAATACGTAAAGCTATTAGACGCAGCAGTGTACGTACGCCCATTTTTCTTTCGGCGCTGTCGTGACGCGCTAGTGCGGCAGCAAAATTCACGATAGTCGACGTGATTTTCCCGCTTTGAGGTCTCGTGGCGGCGTCATCCAAAGCTCTTTCCACTTTCTTCATGAACGCATCCGTGTCTGGCACTTGGTGGACCAAATACGCTTGCTTTGAGCTTCGTCGACATGGAATCAACTTGATGAACACACCAAGATAGCCGACAGCTACCATAACGAGACCGAGCGTAGCGGCGATCATCAGTGACATCGGTGGATCGACCATTAGCCAAAAAGAGCCATAGTCGAAAGTTGAAGTGTCCATAACATGGTTTACGGTGTCATTCGGCGCAATGTTGAGCAAGATCAACCAGAGCGTCCAGCACAGACAGGCAAGTACTACCACTGCAAGCATGTTCGGTAGTAGTACGGAATTTGAATCGTGGTTGGTCCTAGGAGTGATATTACTATTCGACTGCATCTCAGACTTCGTATACTTGCTCGCCTTCGTTTCGAGAGCAGTGTGTTCTAGTCCGGGATAAACTTTTGTTGGAGAACCGCTCGCTTTGGACAGAAGAGACTTCCGCCGCAGAGCGCCTTCACCCTCTGAAGGCACTTGTTCATCTTCTGTATCCGTTGTAGGCGCCATGGCCGCAGTCTTCTCGGTCGCTGACATCGACATGACGATTTGCCTGAACAAGTAGGAAAAATTTACTGGGAAGTTGTTTTGTGGTTCCATTCTTAGAACTAAGACGAACAAACAATAGGATGCAATCACGGGCAAGGTTTGTCGGACAACACAAGAAAGCACACACACGAGGATTGTATGACCAAAATCCGTCTTCTCTCGTCGCTAGCCACTTGGAGCGCTGCCACTTCGCGCGACTAGCTAGCTACCGTATCTACAGATAAAAAAGTGTGTATGTTCACATCCACGACTACTGCGACGCCCGCTTACAGCACGCTGACGTTGTCGCGCGGAGTGCGGAAGTTAGCGAGCGCGCCGTGGGCCGTCGTCGAGACGGGAGTTTTGGTCTCCAGATCATCCAGCGCCGCCTTCTTCTTACGCACCACAAAGATGGCAGCAGCGGCCACCATTCCGACGAAGCAGCCGATGCCCACCACAATGTACGGCGTGCCGTTAGCGCCGCCCCCGGAGGCCTGGTTGTTGATCTGCTGCACCTCACCTTCCTTCGACGCGGCAGCAGGAGTCTGGCCGCCAATCTGCTGAGTGCCGCTGTCCGTCGTCTCCGTCGTTGGCTGCGTCTGCTGCGTCGTGGGACTTTGCACGCTCTCGGCGTCGACCTTACGCAGTTGTTTGACGCCAGCCTCGGTGTCTGAGCCAGAGCCGGACTTGGGCTTCTGGTCCTCGTTCTGGTTCTGGTTCTGACCGGCCGAACCAGCTGAAGCCGAAGCCGACTGCTGACCCTGCTGCTCCGGCTGCTCCTCCTGTTGCTGCTGTTCCTCGTTCGGCGTAGGCGTTGGAGTCGGGGTCGGTGTAGGCGTGGCAGACGGCGTAGGAGTCGGCGTTGGAGACGGCGTGGGAGCCCGCGTCTGGGCCCGCGTTGGAGATTGCGTGGAACCTCCAGATACACCCAGACAGAACGTAAGGTCGAAATTCGCGCGCCACAGGAGACGTGTGCGTCTTGGGGCCGTCCTTAGGGAAAAAGTAGGCGTCCTGACCAACCCTGGGCATGCACGTGAGCTCGACGCAACGTCCGCCGTCCTGCTTGTGCGGCGTGATCTGCATGGGCTTGTTGAAGCCCACACCGCCCGTGAGGTCCTTGCACTCCTGCAGACTAGAGCAGTACTCGGGCTGCAAGACACCACAACGTTAGCATGTTACGCGAACACCAACAAAGAACGTGCTACTTACGCCACTCTTGGGACCGGTAGGGATGCAGCTGATGTCGTACCAACACATGCCCATTTCACCCGAGAATTCGGCCACTGTAGCGCAGAAATTATTAGTACTATGTCGTTTAGGTGACGGGTGGCTGTATTTGCAATAGCACTACGTACAAGTAGCCTGGGCGCCGGTGCCCCACTTGAACACGTGCGAAGCCGAACCGGGCGCGATGGACTTGGTGGTGGAGCCTCCGGCCGCCACCTGCTCGGTCTGCACGCCGTTGGGCGTCAAGTGAGCCAGCGTCATGCTCTCATCGCACTTGTTGCTCACGTAGACGTTGAATCCCTGTGCGACTCCGTTAAGCAGCGCGAGGCCCATGAGGGCGCGCGAGAGCGTCTGCATGACCATGTCGACAAGTCTGTACGCTGTTGCTGATCTCGACGGACAATATGCAAGAGCGTGGGGGAGAATTCCTGAATGGAGAGGCCAACAACGCGACTGGGGACCCGCCTATCCGGGCCTCTCTACCACGACGAACACACGACTTGCAGGCAGCACTTCCATCTGGTGACGAGAGCCAGCAAAGACTGTTCGGGGCACCGTGTCTTGCGTTTTGCTGCTCGTACAGTTCCGGTATCTGTGTGTGGACAGAGCAAAGCCAACTGAGTCGTCGAATTGCAGACCTGAAAATGAATTATACACGTAGATGTAATGTCCAAGTCCGACGAGCTGAAATATTCCTGCTAACTTAAGCTTTACATGTAATTAACGCTGCCAACTCTCATTGCGGCGGCTAAATTCGCGTTGGTTCGGGTGGCCAGAATCTGGCCCAGATAGACGATGTGGCGTGCGTCCCGGTAAAAAGGTGACGGCGGAATATGCGCTAAAAAGTCACTACATGACATGTAGTACATGTAGCGGTAGCGACTGAATGTCCACTTTTGGCGTTAATGATTGGCTGAGATTTTGCGAATGTCTCGTTTGTGCGCGAATGGACGCTGAAACTTCAACATCATCGGCTTCTTCTGAGGACCTTGAGTCAAGGTGACGACGCTGATACAGTGTGCGGTGTGCCTTTCATCAGTTCGGCGGAAGATTAAACGTGCTTTTCTGCTCTGTCGGAAGCTTTTCTTCGTGTAGCCCTCGCCTGTATCGGTCGCGACCCATCTACGCGTAGATAAGTAGATGGGTCGGAGTGTTTATTTGCTGTGGCGCAGTATGTACAGTATGCAGCGTGCCACAGATATTAATAGCAGCCACGTTTATGCTGGTGACATGAAGCAGTTGGTTTGCACTATGAAGAGAGAAACACTCGTCAATACTTCGCAGCGAAGAAGGCAAATGCCCTGACGGCGGACGAAACTCGAGACACTCCATCGCCTGTACGATACCTAACATTGGTAACGCGAGTTTGTTGCTTCAAAGCTGTCGACAAGTCGACAATTGCCTTCATGTGGTGTCTACGCTGGTGCACAAATAATACCATGTACATGTAAAATAACCGGTATGTCTCCTCGTCGCCACCATGAGCCTGGCCAAAGAGATAATTTGTGTAAGGTATTTACGAGAGATTCATAAGCACACTGGAATGTGACGAAGCATCAGCAGAGTCGGAAGTGATGAATGACAATGAATCAGAAAGAAAAACCAGTATACGGCGTTTATCGCCATTCGCACCTCTAAAGTTGCCGCCAATGGGGTTATTCCACACTCTTTTCAGTTTCGGTATTAAATAATCTCGTACTTCGAAGTACTAAATTTAGTGTACTAAAGCTATCCAGCTTAAACCTGTGACCAGGGGCACAAAATGACGTATTTTACAATCCAGCGCGCCGATAAGCTTACACGGTTGCAGATTGTTTTCTTGTTCGTTTCGTGTTACTCCATTTGCCTTTCGACGCGGAACCATAATTTTCTTTCTTTCTCTTTTTACAAACCAAAACATTAATTTAAGCTTAAGGTGTATTCTATATATGCCCTTTTAATTTACAATAGCTCTTGAACTGCTTTTGGACATGTTTAAAAAAAACGCAGAATTTTCATCCGGCTTTCCTTAAAACCGTTTGCACGGCATCACATCGGTCTTTATCATGTTTACCTGGGTTTTTTTTAGGTTGGATGCGCGGGCTTCACAACGTAGAGTGAGTGGCTGCTGTCATTCAACACCGCAAGATCAAACGACTGAGTAGGTAGTTTAGGAGCACCTGTTGCTGTGTGCATCTAGTAGACTGTGCGATAGTAAATGCGACCAGCGTTGTGTTAAGTTTTGCCAGCGACTTCTATTTATTTAAAGTACAAGCGAAGCACGCTGAACTGTATTGCGAAATGGCGGTTCCAGACAGCCTTTGGTTTTGACTTCAGCGAGTCATTTTAGATCCTGCGTATGAAAAAGATGGCACAGAATCTCAGAGCCACAATAAGACTCGTACTGGGTTTTAGCCATAGCGCAGGACATTATCATGCGTCAACAAGCCTTCTTTGAAAGCTTGGCACCATCCGACTGGAATCTCGGATTCCGAAATTCCACTTTTAACTGCGGGTACTCAAATGTCGTAATGAGCTGTTATTCTGGGAAAGTGCTGCTGGGACAGCCCAGACAAATGAATTCAGATGAGCCGGTTACCGAATCCGGTAGCCCGAACCGGTACACTCATGAATCTAATTCACTCGGCAGGAAATGATGCCGGCTATGTCTAATGCGTCTGAAAAAAAATGTCGAAAGCATGCCTCAGAAATTTTTTAAAACAGTATCCATAAAGCGGCTGTGAAGCAGCCGCAGTAGATGCGTGAGTGTGCCATATTCTTCACATGCTGTAAGCACAAATTTAAGTATAAAAAAAGAAATAGGGTGCATTGGATTGCTTTTCTTACTCGGCCTATTCATGTGTAGCAAAGCCTTCTTCGCAGCCGCGTAAGTATTTTATTACTCAAAAGATGTACAAAATTTAAATATCAAGAAAATTAGGCAAGCTTATCTTAGCCCAACCTGTTCATGTTCCTAAACAAATTAAAAAAAAATTACATCACCACAGTTGCAAAATAATCTGACGTAGCGAGTCCAAAAATTGGGGCTTCTTGCGCCAAAGCATCCCCTGCGCCTGCTTCGCAGCCGCTGTATCTGCCGTGTCGAAGCTCCTCTATGAATATGACTTTCAACCAGTTTCAAAAAATGCCTTTGATAAATTTAAATATTTGAGTAGTTTTGAAGATGGTGCGCAAGCGATTCATTTGAAGAATGAACCCGACGACAACTGTACAGGCAATCATATCGGTAGTAATCCCTTTACTTTGGCAAAGTATCAACCCGCGATAAAATCCCCCTTGGATGAGAGTAAAAAGCGGTCTCTAGAGGAATGTGTGTCTTTAACCCTTTAGTGCGCCTCTTTTGCTTGCATGATACTTATTAATAGAAGAGTTGTATGGACAGCCTCACACAGATTGATTTGTTCCAAAAAAATCGCTTTTAGCTTTCAAACAACTGTAGTGTGTGCTGGGGTTTCACCTTGGTTTCACCTGCAGCTGGACTCGGGCTGGGGCAACTTCACCCGGATGTGGCTGCCATTGCAGTCAATGGGTGGAGTGACAGAAGGAATGATAACGGCTGAAATCGAGCACATCATGGCTAGTGTGAAGAATAAGGCGCTGCCTGATTTTCAAGAAGGAGCTCAAGATGAATCGGGCGGAGAGTGACGTGACTGCTTGCGTCGTGGATTACTTCAAGTGTTTCAAGACCATCGTCGACGACAATGGGTTGAGCGAGTGTTTCGTCTTCGAGCGTGGGAAACGTGAGAAGTGCAAGATGTTGACCTCAGCGTTGAAGCCATCGATACTCAAGACGGAGGTAAAGTAGTGTATCCGCTCTACGCATTCTGAAGCCGAGAAAGACCCCAAGGTGTTGTTCCGGCTCATCGTGGAGAAGGCGACCGAGCTGGAACGCCAGCACATCCGTCTCAAGGGTCAGAGACGTGAGGCCTGGGGTGGCGAAGAGAAGCCCAAGGTCAAGTATACTTCTAAGACAAAGAACTAAAGGGACCAAACACAGACTGCGGCTAAGGCTGACCAGAAGACTATCGCCGGGTCAAACCCGAAGTCCAAATTCTTGAACAAGCCAAGACCGCCGCCAGGACCCTGTCCTAAGTGCGATGAGATGCACTGGCTATGGGAGTGCCCTGTAGCGACCGAAGTGGAGAAAGCTGAGCTGCTCAAACGTTTTCGCAATGGACGGAAGTCCAAGAAGGCAAATACCAAGCGACTTGGTGAACTCCTACCGACTGCTGCGCGTACTGTATTGCTTAATGGAGTATTTGAGCTGCCATATTGCCCCGATAGTGGTTCGGACTACACTGTTATTGGCCGTTCGCACTGGGAAAAGTTACGGATGTTGGATCTTGATATTCAAGTCCAGCAACTCGAGGTTCCTGTGCAAAAACAGACTTTCGGTGACCAGAAAGTGACAGCAACGCAGATGGCAAAAATACGAGTACGCATCCACACGGCAGTGGGACCGGTGGAACCGATGAATCTCGTGGAAGCTCTCGTGGTGGACGTGAATGATGACGAGTTCATCGTCGGCAACGATCTCTTGACAGCATTGGGGATCGACGTGGACCGTCAACTGGAGCAGCTGGCGAGTCGCGGAGATGATGAGATGGCCGGTTATCTGACTGAATTAGAGGCTGACGAAATGCCAGTGCACGTGAATGATTTAGTTTCTATTGGTGGTGACAATGATATTTTCGCTGCCGTTGAGAAATTAATTGATCGTGCTGTGAGCTGTGGTTTCCCGCCGGACCATGTGGAGAAATTACGTACCATCGTACATGCGTCTGACGTTTAGCGTCTGGAGCTACGTGCAGATCCACCAGCAAGTGTGCCTCCGTTGGTAGTGCAACTGCGGGAAGGGGTTCGGCCTACAAAGTGTAAGCCCCGAAAGTACCCACCTCACATCCGCGATTTCCTTCACGAGTTTAGCGATCGTCTTGCCGAACAAGGATTGGCTCACGAGAATCCGAAGAGCCGATGGTCGACCCCGTGCTCCCAGTCAAGAAATCCTCAGATCTTATGGACCTACGGCAGACGGTGGACTACCGACTTACGAACGCCCAGACCGACACTATGGCCGCTGTTATGCCTATTCTTGCGTTAGTTGTGGGACATGCTAGCGGAATGAAACACTTTGGAATTTTCGATTTTCTTAAAGGCTTTTGGCAGTTGCCGTTGGCCGAGTTGTGCCAAGAGTGGTTTTCACATATGACAGACGAGGAGATCTTTACTCCGCGGCGAGTTCCTCAAGAATGCAGCGACGCGGCGATCCACTTCCAGAAGACCATGGAGGAGTGTTTTGCTACCCTGCTGTACAAGCACCTCCACATCTGGATCGATGATCTGCTGTTGTACGCAGAGGATATCGACACCTACCTCAAAAAGCTCGCCGAGTTTTTCTCTCTGCTGAACCAGTTTGGGCTCAAGCTGAACGCTAAGAAGACGAGTCTCTACCAGACAGAGGTGAAGTGGTGTGGACGACTGATTAACGGTGACGGCGTCAGACATGATCCAACACGGATCGACACTCTCCGTGCCATGCCATACCCTACGACAGCTGGCGAGTTACAGCAATGTGTGTGTGCTATTAACTGGATGAGGGAGAATAGTGTGGATTACGCTCGTCGAGTGGCTCCTCTCCAGCAACGACTTGATGCTGCACTCGCGGACACTAAGCGAACGAAGCGAGCTGCGGCTGGGATCAAGATCGAGTTGACTCAGGAAGAACGTGTGACCTACGATGAAGTGAAGGAGATGTTAGCGATAGCAGCCACCCTTGCATTCAGTGACGATAGTGCGACTACATGCCTTTTCACTGATGCCAGCGACATTGGTTGGGCTGTGATCGTGACCCAAGTAAAAGAACTTTGATTCGAATATCCCTGTGACGGAGCAGCAGCACAAGCAGCTAACCTGTATGGGTTGTACATTCACAGGCAGTCAGCTTAACTGGACTGTAATCGGGAAGGAGGCTCTGCCTATAGTCACTGCTTGCGAGAAGCTTGACTACCTTCTCCTCCGACCCAAACCTTTTCGCATGTTCTGCGACCACCGGAATTTGGTGCACGTGTTCGCGCCGGACGAGAGCGTTAAGAAGCATGTGAAGGGCAAGCTGTTACGATGGGCAATGAAGCTCATGTGTTTTAAGTATATAACGGAACACGTACCAGGGCCGGGCAATGTTTGGGCCGAAATGGGTTCAAGGTGGGCAGGCAACCATGTTCCCCAGGTTACCGTGAAGAGGCTCAAGGCGATCCGACGCCGACAGACAGCCCAACGCACTGAGCTCCGCCCACTCGACGATGACGATTTTGTGCGGCCTTCTTTTGCTGAGATTAAGGAGACGCAGAGCAAGTACCCACCAGAAAATGCTGTACGCTCGGACGACGGCGTTCTCACTGTTGGTGATCGCATTTGGGTGCCTGATGCAGCAACGGATCTCGTTCAGAGGCTGTGCATTGTGGCTCACTGTGGAGTTCAGGGGCATCGAGGCTAACAAGCTATGGTGACTCACCTTCAACGTTTTTCTCGATTGGCCACCTTTGGAAGACCGTGGCGTCATTTGTGAATGATTGTTTGCTTTGTCTGCATTCACGCGGGGGGGGGGGATTATCCCAAGGCCGTGGGGAGAGCTTATAGACTGCAGACAGCGCAACAAGGTTCTACACTTTGATTTTCTTTTTATGGGCCCCAGCTATGGATCGAGCAGCTACCTATTGGCTCTAAAAGACCATGCGACGCACTACTGTGAGATGGTGGTTGCTGATTCAGCTGAAAGTCCAGTAGTTGTGGAGGCTTTGTTAGCGTGGCACTCTCGTTTCGGCGTACCGCCTTCGTGGGTATCAGATCAGGGCTCCCATTTCAAATATGAAGTTGTAGCAGAGCTGAGTCGACGGCTTCGCACTCAGCAGTCCTTTACGCCGGCATACAGCCCATAGGTGAATGGATCGATTGAGCGCATCAACCGTGACGTGCTTCAAGTCATCCGTGTCATGATTTTGGAGTACAAGATCAGCCAGAAGGACTGGGTGTACCTTGTGCCGTTGGTACAGTCAAATTTAAATCACACTGCAATGCCTTCACTAGGCAAACACTCGCCATTGGAATTGTTTACGGGGTTGGAGTGCCCTACACCGCTAGCTGAATTCTACCTCTCGGACGATCGCTGCCTCCAGACTATTCCTGCCAGTACCGAGATCAAGGGCTACCTAACCGATCTACGTGAAAGCATCCAAACAATGCACTGTGCGATGGAGAACAAGAGGCAGAAGCAGCGATTATTGAACAAGAAACGTGAGCGTGGCGATAATTTGGTAAACTTTACTGTGGGAGATTACGTCCTTCGATCTCGAGTGGACGAGAAACATGGTAATAAGTTGCAGGTGATGTGGATAGGCCCGTATAGAGTGACGCGAGCCGACACACACTCGTTTCGAGTGCAGCACCTCGTGACCGGTGACGAGCTGGACGTGCACGCATCGAGACTGGAGTTCTATTCTGACGATAGCCTGGACGTGACAGACGAGCTTCTGGAGCATGTGTCCTCGCAAGGCATCGCCATGGCTGTAGAGAAGCTTAAGGGACACAGGTGGAGCTGTGATATCTAAGACTTTAAGATTCTGGTTAGCTGGAAAGGTCTACAGCCTATCGAGGACTCGTTAGAACCTATGGGTGACCTGGCTAAAGAGATCAGAGTGTTGGTGAATAACTATGTGACAAGTGCCGATGACCAGTAGCTCCGTGAGCACTGGCAGCGGCTGCAAGGAGATCGCAGACACGGGATGGCGCAGGGAGTGCGATCTAGTGTAGACTCCGAAACAGTGTCGTCGACCGGTGATCTGCGCAGGCCTCAGGGTGACGCAGGGCAGGTTCAACCTCGCCTTCACGGACGAAAGCGACGACGTCGTCAAACCGCAAGCAGGAGCTTGCGGAACGGCGACTAGTCGGCTGAAGAGGATCTTCACGCTGAAAAGCCATCAGGTTCGGGGCAGACTGAGGACGGGGACAATGAGCAACACATGGGTGCCGAGGTTGGTCCTCCACTTCCCCGAGGTCGCCGACCAAGAGCTGTAGTGCGGGATGAGACGCCTTCACGCGTGCAGCCACGCCGTTCACAGCGTCGCCGTAAGGACCGAGGCCAGAGTAACTAACTGCTCAGTGAGTCGTGGTTGCGGCAGAGACTGGTGCGATGTGAGCCGGTAAAACCAAGCTTCGGGGGCTGTGTAGTGTGTGCTGGAGTTTCACCTTGGTTTCACCTGCAGCTGGACTCGGGCTGGGGCAATTTCACCCGGATGTGGCTGCCATTGCAGTCAATGGGTGGAGTACGGAATGTCTTCCGTTGTGTCCGACGCGTGGTCAGCTGAGGACTTCAATTTCACTTAGACTGCCAGTGTCCTTGTGGACTGCATTAGGATTTAGTATTGCCAACTACATGTTTCCATTCTGTGATGAAAGGCATTCGTGTCCATTTCCCTTGCTGCCTAGTCGCTCAAGATGAGTGGATAGCAGCACATTGACGAGAACGAGCTGGTCAGCACCATACTCATGATCTCGTTCACTTTGCAATTTGCACGACACAGAGTATATCAATACATTTGGCTGCTACTTCCGTGCGGGTTGGCCCCTGCATCGTCGTGTGTTTCCTGTGTTGCTTCAAAATCCCCGGGCTATACTACAACAACACACGATACGCAAATCGAATAAGACTTTACGGGCGAAAACTTCTTCGGTACTATTACTTTAGTACTTACAGGTTGTTAGTACAATACACGCTTGCATGCTCATCAACGCTCCCTCTCATACATAACACCTCTTTTTATAAAGTTGCTGCTTAAAAAAGAAGGACTCACTTTGTCTGGTAGGAGCTATTGGTATCGCCAACGGTCCTTGCTGGACAAACCAATTGTAAACGTGTTTAGCTAGAAATTCTACTTCAAATGAACAAATAATGCTAATTACTCTTTAATTTAGGACTGATGCACTCTCGTTAATATAATGCAATTTTTGCAGTATCTCTTGAGGCTAACGTATTAGACTTTCTCAGCCTACGCGTACCTAGTATCTCATTTCCAAATTTATTCCTTCTCCAGTTGAGCAGCACGCCTGGTGGCTCGCTTTTTTTTCTAATGTAAATCACCCTGATGAGATATTCTAACTGAGAATAATAGTAGATAAAGGGTTAAATTATTATTACTGAGAATTATATTATTAAGCGTTACACGTCATTATAGAGTATGTGAAAACTTTAATTTTTAGAGTACTATACATCGCATGTGTGACTCGTAAGCTTAGTGACTTTGTCGTTTGTTGACCACATGTTACCTTCGCCGCCACGGTGAGCTCACGTACGAACAGGGGGTGCCCTCTTCCTTCGTCGCTGTGAGTGCGGAAAATCTGGGTGAAGGTGGCTCCCAGATTGCTACGGGGTGGAGCCACTTTCCTATTAGATTCTGGGATGTCGTCCCAGATTTAGGTTAATCTAAGCTCATCGGTCTATTTAGAGAACAGGCGTACGGTTCTACGAGATATTTGATATATACCGATAACCTGAGCCAGACGCAGAGGAGGTCTCCGACGCCGTGTCCACGCCACTGAGAGCCATCTCCCACACGGATTTCTCCTTTGCCTCCATGAGGCAATTCAAGCAGAACCGCAGCGTGCATTGCTTGACTGCCCCCGTGTTCGACACGTCGACGGTCATCTTCTTGACAACGCTGCACTTGGCACACATCGCACGACGGCAGATTTGGCACGAGGCACTGGTGGACGTGAGTGCAAACATACTGAAACTCTTGTAGCACGTCTCGCAGCGCTTGGGCTTCGTCTGTCCTGACTCGCGACGAGATTCACGTTGCTCTTTACCCTTCTCCTTCATGAACCACGTGAGTTTCTTGACGTACGCGTAGTCGACAACACGAGACGCGCTGATGATGGCGTCAGCTCCGACTGCTGCAGCTACGCGGTCCGGGATCTTCCCTCCCGGATTACTGTAGTTTCGAGCGTATTTCTCGACCTTACCAGGTCCTTTCTGGCGATCGATGAAGCACAAGCTCAACTTTGCACGGATGATACCGAGATCCGTGAGCTCTGGGACGCCAGGCAGCGAGATGGAGTGCATGAGGTAGTAGCCGATCTTTTGGCCCTTGGAATCACGAGTTAACCCCGTCGCCTCCATGATGAGGTAGTCGCGTTGCTGCATAATACTCGACAGCACTGCAGGTCGTTCTTTCGCGAACCATTTGATGCCCAGGAACTGGAAAGGGTCATCATGAGTTGGCTTGCGGATAGTGGCCAGAATTCTGGCATCGTCGAGACGGTCGTTGATGTGGGAGCTGCGCCACTTCCACGCTTCATCCGTGGACGCGAATGTCCCAAACATACAGTCGTCCAGAGAGCCATCCACTGTACCATGCAGCACCATGACTGGACGCTGGAACAAAGGATTGTGCGCGAACGCTGAAGTGGTAGACGCCTCCGATGCCCCATGTTGCTCACTCCAGGCTCGACTGGAATCCGTGGAGTACGAGGGGTCTTCGCTTACGGGTGATAGAGGCCCCGTGCTCTCCTTCTTCCTCAGTGCCTTTGAACCATCAGCTGCCTGTCGTTCGCGGTACACGTTGAGGCCATCTCGCGCGCGTACCAGTCTCCACTTTGAGTTGGAGAACTTGGATCCTTCAGCGAGGAAAGCTTCATTCGCCGCCAGAGTCTCGCGCACGACAGTCTCTGCCTCTCGGATCAAAGCTTTTTGTTGATCTTTGGACAAACCGAGCTGCGGGAACGCGTTCTCCGGGAGTGTGAACTTCATGGTCTCTTTGCTCTCTAAAAGCCAAAGCACTTGTGAGTCTCCCTATGACCAAAGTTACGTCGCACATTCCGTAGACAGCCACCCAAAAATGGATTTCGAAAACATCGTTTCAATCCAGCGCAGTTCAAAGCGTTTGCCGTATCCTAGACTCTAGGCTAGAGGCAAGGCTTTCGTGGCAGGTGTCTTTGGTACGCTAACTTCTATGCAACCAGTTGATTGTGTTAAAGCACGACATCTCCTCAAATGCATGCATTTGTCAAAAGGGCGACAGAACATGCCAAACACATGTATTTACTGTTTTCAGCACACAGCAAATCATTTGACTTGACTTATGTATACTTTTGACTTTCTGAGTGTCGCAATAAGACATAATCGACGATTAGAGGTCACAGTAGAAAAGGGACCAGCCGCGCTTCGCTTGGCTGGGCGCCCCTTCGGCGCCCCGCGGTTTCGCTGCGCTCGCAATATGGAGATAGAATGTTCTGGAAAGTGTAGTGCTCGGCTCGCTGGTGAGCTCAGCGCTGGGCCCGCCTCCGCAAATACCGCGCGGCCCTGCTTCGCGGGCTCTCCGCGCGGGTTTGCTGCGGCTACGCGCCTCGCACCCGCTCACCTTAGTTGGCGTTGCGGCTATGGCACCCACGTCGCCCAGCCCCGTGTGTGTTATCCCAGAGATGGACGTGTGTTTCTCTTATTTTCTCTCAAAAGGCAAGCTCCCACATGTTTTTGAAGGGTCAGGTGTGCTTCCGTTCATTTGTTAAACGGTCGTAAATCTCTACGATCACACGATATCTTTTTTTCTACACCATTTCCCGGGCTGACTGAAAAGTTTTGGGAAAACGTCAGAACGTGTATCATCCTGAAACGTTTTGTCAGTATGTGTGAAACGTGTGTCAATAAGTGTATGGGCTGCCATCGGTATTGAAGGTATGTGACAGTCTCAAAACAAACGCCAACAGGTGTATGAAAGTGAGGTTTGCGTGTCAAAATGTGTAGCTGGCAACCGTTTGGACGTGTACACACACTTTCAGCCGTGTTATAAAGTGTCGGTGTATGCCAATGCATTTCACGCTAAAGCTGTCTTTATACCGATAGAATCAGACATCACTCAGAGTTCCGAATGGCTACCTGCAGTTTTCACAAAGAAACCGGGACGCCCCAAGACGAAGCGCATAAGAAGTGTTGGAGAAAACGGGAATAGATCTTCACAGAGTTGCTCAAGAAAGGCCACAACAAGCGTTCATGCACGCAATCGGATGGCACATAACACACTCAAAAAGAGTGTCCCTCAGTCGCTATAGAGCAACAAAGAAGTTAATTTCGTGTTTTTTTTTGTTTTTTTTGAACATTTAGATGGTCACTCAACTCCGGGATTTTTTTAGTGTCCCTCATTCGCGATCGAGCAATAATGAAGTCACTTTCATGTTTTTTTGTTTTGTTTGTGCATTTAGAAAGTTACTCAATTCCGGCTTTTTGCGCTATAGTAACCCTTAAGAAGAATCGTCACTGCTAATGATAGATTCACCACAGCATCCATCCGCACCACACTGGCATTTAAACCATACTTCATCGCCATAATCAACAGTGACCTCGCTTCCAGCTCGAATATCCGCCATCGTAACGACAACCACCGTGACGAAGCGGCGGTTTTGAACCTCGTAAAATCGGCAATCTGCCGCACAGGAATGATTCATGAACCGCGTAATGTTTACCTTGAATTTCGCCTCGATCCACAAGTTCTCCTTGCGCGACGACCGCGCGGCCGAACCGATGGTGTAGTTGCTGGTTCTTTTCTTGTCCTTACGGTAGTCGTGTGTTGTCAACACACCAGCGTACTCAGCAACAATGCTTCCACTTTCAATATCCTCAGACGTGAAAACAGAGTATCCAATATTTCCACGCGCTAGGTGCAGGCCACTCACAGTTCTCAGTCGATTGCCACAGTCAGATCCGTTGAGGCAGTTATTCCGAGCACAAAATATGCTACCCAGTGCATTTGGGCAACCATCCGGTCGGCAAATTGTGTCGCAGCCACACCAATCCATCGGCCCTAAATCGGGTACCAAAATGTTGTTTGGGTTCTCGGTACTGGTTATCTCCATTACATCAGAAGGCCATGCAACTACGTCATTATTTCTGTAGGAGCAAAATGCTCGCTTTCTCATTTTCGCCCGTCTCAGAAGCTCCGTGAGAACGTTCGCTAGACCTGCTGTCGTTTTCGTCGCTGAACTCGTCCAAATAAATTATATCTGGTGTGACAGTCCAGTACACATTGTCGATTTCATCGTGACATCCGGTGTCAACGTCGTTGCATTCAGTTATGTCATGGCTGCTTATGTCACCACTCTCCATTAAACTGATAATCTCACGAGGCGAAATAGGCGGAGCGCAATACTCTTCGCGATATTCATTTGGCGGATGTGCTGTATTAGAGCCGCAATCACTAGCTTCATCACTCACTCTCTCTGTATCTTCATTGTCGCTAGTATCATACAAAACAATCACTTCCGGAAGGTTAGCAATATATTTGCCAACAGAGCCTACTTCACCATGCTCTGGGGGTAAAATACCCTCTCCTGCCTCCTTAGTCAAATCGACCAGGTCCGTAATGAAAGAAAGTGCTTCGACTTCACGTCGGCTCTCCGCCCCAGTCTTCCCTACACGCGAAATACACGGGATGGCCCCCTCCAGAAGGAGGCAAACTCGCCTAGCGGCGCCGTTTTCATCACTCCACAGCGGTAAGCCCGCTTAGAATCTCGGACTGGGGCCCGCCTCTTCATGTACCGCTGTTTCCTGCTCTTCGCCTTGAAATACCCAACTTTAGATGAATACGCAACGCTTGAGATGCGCTCTTGCTCTGCGTACAACGGCGCAGTTCTCTTCGACAGCGCCGCAGCTCGCGCCATCTCGGCGTCCCTCACTTGCTGGAATGTGATTGTCTCGTAAATGGGCCGAGCCTTCTGTGCTGAACAATGGGTTTCGCCCTTTTTATCCCCAAAACTTGTGACAGTACGTGTGCTCGGTTCAAACCTGCCGGTGACCATCACTCTGACTGGTTCTGTAACCGCTTTTGACAAACGTTTGCCCAATTGATACACGTTCTGACGTTTTCCCAAAAGTTTTCCAGACAATGTGAAAAAAGGAGATGAGAGGCAAAAAAAAAGTCACCGTCTCAGACAAAAATAGTACTATTCCCAACCCGAGCAAATTTGCTCATCTCCTGTCCCAACCAATGTGAGGGCGCCAAATTTAGGCGCCAAAACGAATCCATAGCACAAGTTCATGTACTGCTGACACAAAGACAACAAGTGGCTCACAGATACGTTGTTGGAACTGACGCAGGGGTAAAATATTCTCATTCCTCAATTCGACTTTAGCAATGCCTTCTCCCACCGTCAACACAAACTCTCTGCGCGATCACGCTCGAGAGCAAGCCAAGCAGCGCGTCCTTCGTGTCTTACGCGAAGGTGGTGATTGGAAACTTGCTGCAATCCACAACGACATACCCTATAATACTGCTCGCCGTGCTATCCTGAACAGCGCTGCGACGGCCAAGCCGCGAGGTGGGGTTCGTCAGGCTTGTGTGAAAATGACGGTCGAAGTAATGGCAAAGATCGAGGAGTATATTGATGAGGATTGCAGGGCTACTTTGACTAACTTATGTGACAGACTGCGTAGCGACTTAGGTGTTGTTGTAGGCAAGACATCTGTTCATCGTGCTCTCCAAGGCATGCTTTATAGCACTAAGAAGATACGCATTGAGAAGTCCACAATGAACAGCTCCGATAACAAGATCAAGCGCAAAGCGTTCGTAGAGAAGCTCGACGACCATGGTGCTAAGGGAAACATGATCGTCTATCAAGACGAAACCAATTTCAATCTCTATTTGTCACGGTCACAGGGCTGGACCCGTATCGGCGACAGAGCCGTCGTGCAGCTTTCACCGTCGCAGGGGAAAAACCTGCACGTACAAGGTGGCGTTTCAGCGCTTACGGGGCTAGTGCTACTGCGATGCACGAAGGCTCCATAAGCAAGGAAGAGAATGCCCGCTTCATTGCCGATCTCTTCGTCGCAGCGCTGCGAGCTGAGGAGTATCGAGAACTACCTGCCGACAACAAGATCGTCATTGTGACGGACAACGCGTCAGCACACAGCAGCGTCGAAGATTTAGCCCGCCAGTTGCTTGTATCTGATGGCATCCTAAACGGCCACAAACTTGAGATTCTGCGGCTCGGTCCTTACAGCCCAATGCTAAACCCCATTGAGGGGTGCTGGAACGTCCTCAAGTCCAAGATGCGCCTCTTCATGGCGTCAAAGAAGGATGCTATGCTTGTGCGAGGTGAGTACAGTACTTACACAGCGCAACGACTAGCTATCATGAAGGAGGCAGTTGATATGGCGATGCCGTCGATTACGCGGCGCCTCGTGTGGAGGCTCGAGCGGCATGCGGCTAAACTTGGCTGCACTGCTAAATGCGGCGACGACATGCAGCTGGGAAAGTAAAATTCTCACTTTGCCTGGGACGCGTGATGGGCAAATGTCCAGCTGTTGGGAAACATGCACTTTTCTTTTCTTAAAACCTCATTCTAGGTTTTTTCGATTAAAACCTCATTTTCATAATGCCTGGAAACTTTTCAGTCAGCCCGGGAAATGATGTAGTCCCGAAGTACATTACCTCTCACCTGTAATTTATAATACAAAACTACCAAAATGACTGTTCTGAGATACTTCCTCCGTCCGAAAAGATAAGCGGCATCTGTCCCGAAAATACACCATTTCCCGGCCAAGTTGCCAATTTTACCAAACATCGTGCAAAATTTGCCATTTAATGGCCGTTCTTGTGTGATCTCATTTAAGGCAGTGTAGTCACACCATTTTTATTTTTAAAGCTTCGGTATTTGGCGATTTGTAGGAAAAAGCCACTTTTCCCACGACTTGCATTTCTGCCCATCACACTTTTCAAGCAGGTTGCAAACCTGCCACGGTCAAACGAACAAATACAT